TCCTAAATTCTTCTAGTTTCCTCAAATGTCTGACTATGACTCTCTAAACATTTCCAATTTTCTCCCACTCTTCTGACTTGGAATCACTAAGGACAAAACTGCTTTCCCTGAAGCCTTGCAAACTGAAACTGGACAACTTGACAGAAATTTCATAAGAGCAGGGCGCCTGGGTGGCTGAGTCATTAAGCATCTGCCTTCGGCTCAGGTAGATCCCAGGGTCCTGGGATCGAGCCCCACATTGGGCTCTCTGCTCAGCGGGAAGCCTGCTTCTCCCTCTCCCACTCCCCCTGCTTGTGTTCCCTCTCTTGCTGTCTCTCTCTCTCAAATAAATAAATAGTCTTTAAAAAAAAAAAAGAAATTTCTTAAGAACTCATGTGTGGACGACGTTCTTACCTGTTGCAGTTGGGCTACTCAGAAATTTCACACCTGAGGACATCACCAGAGCTATTCAAACTGCAAATCAGGAAAGTGAAAGACTGCTCAAGGATGGCTTTCAACCACCTCCGTTTTGATGTCAAGCTTTCTAATTGATTAAGTTCTTCTTTCCAGCTCATAACTCAGGCAAAAAGCCCTCCAGGCAAAGTATCCTGCTTGGGAACCAAAACTACCCCCTTCAAACAATAAAGACTGCCTAGACCAGTAAGACCCCCACCTGTGATTGACCCCAAGCTAATCATCAACTTGACCTTTACATAACTGAGGAAGGAGGGAACGGAGGCTCAGGAGGGAAGCTGACCAACAGTAAAGCCATTTTGGTTTTTAGGTTGACTCTTAAGTCAGCAGGTCATAAAGAGTCACAAGACGCCATTCCCTCTGGCTATAAAAGCCACATCAGCCGGACATTCTTAAAATTGTTCTGTAGGAGCGTTGTGCTGACAATACTGACCCCATCTTTGGCCCTCCATCTTGTTCACATTTGCTCAGTAACCTCTCTTGGGGCTACATGTTTTGGGCCCCTTGGAGATGAATATACATACCTTAGAAATGCCGGCTAGGATGGCGGGGTGGGGGGGGCAGCGGGGAGGCTTATTTTGGCCTCCCATGAATCTGTTAGAGATAACATAGTTTTTCCTGATGCACAGGAGGTGCCACAAGATCTAATTAAAGGCCAGCTGTCAAATAAGGTGCATGTAAGTCCTCTGAGGTGCGTGCAAGCCTTCTGATCTCACTACAATGACCTTCTGTGTTCCCCTCACCCTATACAATCTGTGGACTGAGGTCTGGATTTCATGGAGAATTAACTATGCAGCTGCTGTGGACTGTCCTCCACCTGAATCCCTGTGTCAATAAGTTACCCTGAATAAAACTCTGTGTAAACTGTATGGAGTGGCCCGCTTTGTTTTCTGGTCTCAAAGTGCCTTCTTAGCTTGGGGATACTTTACTGTCCATCCTCTACCTTCTAACATGCTCCCTGTAGGTTATTCCACAACCCTAGGTAGGACAGCGGAAAAACCAACCGCCCAATCTAAGTGATACACCCAAAGCTAAAGAGTAAGCTCCTCTCTATATGGTTAGCTAATTTAAAAAAAAACCTATAAAATGCTTTGCTAGAAGCAAAGGGGCATAACTCTTCCTCACCCAGGAGAAGAGACCATTACTTTGTGAAGTAGCTCCTGATGTGGGAAACAAAGGCAAAAGAAAAAATTAAATTTCCTACTGCCTACAAGTCCTTGAAACAGGCAGAGTGACATATTCCTCTAGGAACTCAGCTGCCTTTATGTTAATACTTTGCCAAGGGCAAAAGGCAATCTTAGCCTGACCCTCAGGATCCTGTGAGTCTACTCTAACACATAAAAATTCCTTTGAAAACTTCCATTATCTCTACTCCCCACCCCAAGATACATGTTAGCAATCATCCTTTAAACATATGGCCCACTAAGCTACATCTGAAAGGTCTGATGACTCAGGTTTTATTAGACAATAATAAATGACCTTTTCCCAACAATAGCCAGCCCCCTCAAGGTCCTGGAAACGATGCTTCCAAAATTCCTTAGAGATTTACGCTATCCCTAACCCCCTCCCAACTTGAAAGTATATAATGGGCCACTCCTCATGACCCCAGTGCACCTCTTTCTGCCTGTCCCTGTCCGTTAATAAAACCATCTTTTTGCACCAAAGACGTTAATTCTTTCTGGGCTGTTGGCTCCCAACTCCAACATTGCCACATCACTCGGCGTCTGAACGTGTGGGTCAGTCTTTTCATCTGGATTCTGAGCTTCTCTGTAAACTTGGTATTTTCTCTTTTCTTCCTTTACTCTCATACATATCAGGAGCTTTTCATGGAGTATGGTCTTTTTTTTAATAATTTTTATTTATTTTTTTCAAGAATTTTTTATTTATTCATTTGAGACAGAGAAAGAGAGCGAGTGAGCATGCGAGCAGGAGCAGTGGGGAGAGGAAGAGGGAGAAGAAGACTCCCTGCAGAGCAGGGAGCCCAACATGGGGCTCGATCCCAGGACCTGGAGATCATGACCTGAGCCGAAGGCAGACGCTTAATGATCTAAGCCCCCCAGGTGCCCCCATGGAGTATGGTCTTATAACACTTTCAGGTCAACTGCTCAGGCTGCAATCCTTTAGCATGGGGGCTACTCTACAGGGAGGAGAAGCCTGCCTTTTGGCTAGAAGTTAGTACTCTAGCCGGAATGGTAGTAAGACCCAGAAACTTGATGCCCTCTCTTTATTCCTGTCCTTACACAAAGTTGTCTTTTTTGGGCACGGGACAGTCACCTAAGTTGCTAGCACAGCTGCCAATCTTAAGTCTCCCATGTGAGGTTTCCTCCTCACTGGTTTAATGTGATGTTCACATCTCTGGTCTAGTAATCTCTGGCCACGAGACTTCCACTTGGAACCGGCTGAAACCAGTACCCAACTGAATCAAAGCCCAACTGGGACCATTTCCTAGAGAAGTTGGCTGTAAAGACTACATGTGTTGGAATGTCGCTTAGACCATGATGAATTTCTATCTCCAATCTTCTGTCAATGTCCTCCACTTACAAAAAACTATAGGGGCAATTTCCCCTTGTAAAAACTTTCCTAATGTTTTCCATGGGTTAAAAATGGGGGGTTCTTCAGGGCAAGGCAAGGTATGGTATCTCGGTCCACATGCTGGCACCCATTTTACAGTCTAGGATTCGATAGGGAAGCTGGGGGATGCGAGCATCCCTCCTACCGGGACTTTAATGGCATGGCGGTGATCATAGCAATTTCATTCAAGGGGCTCCTTGGGCTGCTTTGACACCAGGAACCTCTGACAAGCACAAAGACTGTCTATACATGAGCTATTGTGGCAATTTCTCTGAAGTTTACCTCAAGTTGTCTAGCTTAGGCAAACAACAAACATTCAAAGACAATGAGAACTAGAATTTAACATCTGCAAAGGTGGGTTACTGAAACATTTTTCTCACTGTAATCACTCTCATTTCCAGAAATAGCCAAATTAAGACTAATTTGTTTGTAAAACAAGTCACAATCTTGGTCTTAATTTTTCCTTTTGCCTTTGTTTCCCACATCAGTGTCACTTAGGCCAAGTCAACAAACTGGGGTTTATATTTATTTATTTGACAGACAGCGAGAGAGCACAAGCAGGGCGAGCGGCAGGCAGAGGGAGAGGGAGAAGCAGGCCCGCTGAGCAGGGAGCCCTGACCGGAAAGCAGCTGCTTAACCATCTGAGCCACCCAGGTGCCCCCAAGCTGGGGTTTAATATCTAACCTAACTGCAGTGTCAGCCTCCCCCAGGAAAGTTTTAACTGAGTCAGTCAGGAATTTTCTGGTCATCACCAATGGTAATCTGTTACCTAGGCCCTCTCCATCCCCAAAGGCAAATGAGGTCATCTGCATGATAAGACCCCCTGCCCTTTCCCCCAAGTGATAGTGACCTTGCCTGGAATCCTTTTCTTTTGCTATTAACTCCTTGCCCCACCCTCCTTCTTATAAAAACCTTCCATTTTGTACAACTCTTGGGAGACCCTCTCTACTTGCCAGATGGGATGCTGCCCGATTCATGAATCGTTTAATAAAGCCAATTAGATCTTCAAATTTGCTCGGCTGAATTTTGTTTCTTGGCAGGGCCCTCACTCCATCTGAGATGCTCTGAGCCCAATATCTAGAAATCTTCTTGACTGTCCTCTGGACTCAAAAACAAGAGTTTACGGTTTATTCCGACTATTAACCGTTTTCTTTTGTTTCCATTAAAAAACGCCTCTTATTAAATAGGTGACTGCTCATGCAATGTAGAGCCCCCCTGCAATAAATACCACCTCCTGAAATGAGACACAACTGTTTAGTCTAATGTATTCTCAGGACTAATAGACTCATTCAAAGACATGAAACTTCTTGGGGACGCTTCAAAGACGGGAATGAAGGACAGCAGAATGCACCAACCCAAAATACAGCTCTTTGGCATCAAGATTATTTTGAGGAACAGCAGATGGGTTGGGCATGGAGCCTACTTAAAAAACAAACAAAAACAATAGAGAGTAAAGAAACCCCTGCATTACTTACATCCTTCCCTCTTCAAATGGTAACTGATGTGGGGAATAAAGGCAGATGGAAATGTAGTTAAAAATAATTTCCTTATATCCTGCAGCCAATTGACAAATAACTTGAGGCAGACAGAGCGGGACATTCCTCCAGGAAACTCCCAAGGGTCTTAATGTTTTGCTAGAGGGAAAAACAACTTTAGCTTGACAATAGCCAGGCTTCCAGGATCAGTGAGTCATCTTTAGCATATGAAAGACTTTTGGAAACTTCCCTTGGTCTTCTCTTCCCCCAACCCCAAAGTGTATAATCAATTGCTCCTCACAATCCCAGTGCAGCTCTTTTCGGCCCAAGGGTCCCGTCCCGGTGCTTTAATAAAACCACCTTTTTGCAAAGACATCTCGAGAATTCTTTCCTGGCCATTGGGTCCAGGCCCCAACATTTCCACATCAGTAACCAATGCCTCGATATTTTGTTTTATATTTGACATTTAAATATTCTTTATGAGAGAGTGGTTGTTCCTACCAGGAAAAAAGATTTTGACCTCTTCAATCCTTTGAGGAGATACAGATTTATATGAAGGCAAAGGTTTCCAAGAGCCATCTTCAGTTTTCTTCATGAACTGGTCAAAAAGGAGTCTCATGTCCTTGCTCCAGCTGGGGTTGGGGAGAGAACGGTCCACATAAATGACCTCTGAAGAAAATGACCTCTAAAAGAAAGAGAGGAGAAAAAGAAGAATGGAGAGTGAACCCTATCTTGTAACATACTCTATTTTCTGAGACTATCTTGCTGCCTCTTCCAGAAGCTGGTCATTTCAGAGTGGAAGCACATTTTTAGAATCAGCCCATCCAACCTCCTTGAGAGGAGAGATTGAGAGAGAGGGTAAGTGATTTGCTCAATGTCACCCAACTAGCTACTAGCAGAGAAGAATTAAGCTCAGGTCTGTGGATTCCTTTCTTTTAAAACAAAACCAAACAAAACACCTTAATCAAGCACAGGTGAGCCAGGAACTGGAGATAAACAGACGAAGGACACACATTTTCCTCCATGTAAAAAGTGTTACCAGTGGGGTATGCAGGAGCCAGAGCACAGGGGAGAGGTGTTTAGACAGGGGGTAAAGGGGGGTTCAGGGAGGAGTTCTTTGACCTGAATCTTGATTTTGATGTAGGGAAGATGTTAGGGTTCGAAGCCAATGGCCAAGAAAGAATTCTTGAGCCGTCTCCAGTGCAAAAAGTGGTTTTATTAGAGGACGGGAACAGGACCATGGGCAGAAAGAGCTGCAATGGAGTCGTGAGGGGTGGTGATTATATACCTTCAAGTTGGGAAGGGGTTAGGGATAGGGTAAGTCTCTAAGGAATTTTGGAATCAAGGTTTCCAGGATCTTGAGGGGGCTAGCTATTGCTGGGAAAAGGTCATTTATTACTGTCTAATAAAACCTGAATCATGAGACCCTTCAGATGTGTATCAGTAGGTCATATGCTTGGGGGATGATTGCCAACATGTAGCTGGTGGGGGTAGAGATAAAAGGAAGTTTCCAACGGAATTTTTAGATGTTAAAGTAGACTTACAGGATCCAGGGGGGCGGGCTAAGATTGCCTTTTGCCCTCAGCAAAGTATTAACATGGAGGCAGCTGAGTTCCTAGAGGAGTATGTCACTTTGCCTATTTCAAGGACTTGTCAATGGGCTGTAGGCGGTAAGGAAATTTACTAATTTTTCTTCTTTGTTTCTCACATCAACTGAACAAGCAGAAATTAGCCAGCTAGAAAGGGTATTGTAGGTATACGCAAAAGCAAGGAGGCACGACAGTTTTATGGGGCCTCATAACAACCACACTTATGAAATACTTATGAAGTAGGTACTAATTATTATCCCCGTTTTACAGATGATGAAACTAAGGCCTAAAAGAAGCTTGGCTTTGTTTCAGTGCAAGGGGAAGAGCAGATGACTACAGAGATGCAGACAAGGGCTTGGCTGGGAGAACTTCCATTCTAAGCTAGTTGGCCTGAACTGGTCTGTATCTGCAGTTGTTCCCAGAGGGATTTCAATACGGAAATGACAAGATCTGATCTGGCCATCATAAGAAAGATAGTGGGAGGGACCAAGACTGGATGTGAGGACCCTGTGTCGAGGCTTTTAGAGGTAACCCAAGTGAAAATTATGACTGCATGAAGCAGATAAGGAGTAAGGGAAGAGTAAAAATACAAACACCAACCCCAGGTTTCTGAATTATGCAACACAGTGAGTGATAGAGCCAATTACCAAGAAAGAGAATATAAGGAGGAGGAGGAGGTTGGGGCGGGACAGGTGCTTGGTGTCATAGTAACCATGGCTTCCACCCATGCTATTTCTCTGTAGCACTGAGCAATGCTACCACTCATGTGACCAGGCAGCAAGTGGAATGGTGCAGAGGCCCTGGAGGGGGACAAAGGGTGACTTACCAAGGAGGACAAAGCAAATGGCCATAGGCACTGGAAAGGAAAAAACTTTTTTTTGGGGGGGGGGGGGGATCTTTTTTTTTTTTTGGCTTCAGCAGAAATCTTGGAATATTTAAGACCACAGAAGCTATCAACTCTATGGCATTCCACTTCCAGTCACCCTTGTCAATTCAGATTCAATGTATCTACACTTGGACTGATGTAGGAAAGACGTTATTAGGGTTCAAAGCCGATGGCCAAGAAAGAATTCTTGAGAAGTCTATGGTGCAAAAAGGTGATTTTATATTAAAGCACGGGGATAGGGCGCCTGGGTGGCTCAGTTGGTTAAGCGACTGCCTTCGGCTCGGGTCATGATCCTGGAGTCCCGGGATCGAGTCCCACATCGGGCTCCCTGCTCAGCGGGGAGTCTGCTTCTCCCTCTGACCCTATTCCCTCTCGTGCTCTCTCTCATTCTCTCTCAAATAAATAAATAAAATCTTTACAAAAAAAAAATAAATAAAGCACGGGGACAGGAGCCGTAAGCAGAAAGAGCTGCTGCACTGGGGTTGTGAGGGGTGGCTGATTATATACTACTGGGTTGAGGGAGGTAAGGAAAAAGGGAGGTTTCAAAAGAACTTTCACGTGCTAAAGAGGACCTACAAGATACTGGAGACCTTGCCATTGTCAAGGTTGTTTTTCCCTTCTACCAAGGCATTAACATTAAGATAGTTGGGAGATCCCTGGGGGAATGTCACACATGTCCATGTCCCACCAGGAGTGGGGGGTGGGGGTAGGTTGCAGGGTGTCAGCTTATGCTCTGTCTTCAGCCAGCCTTCTGTTCCCTCATCATGGACCACACCCCGATATCAAAAGAGCAAGGCTGTGCTGTGATGGAAGAACCAGCCAACCAGCCTTCCACTGACATGCTGACACCTCAGCTGGCTCTGATCTGGCCAGCTCTGATTCTGGCCTGATGGTTGAGAATATAGGCAGCCTGTCTCAAAAACTCCACAGAATTAACTCCTTGACTGAACAGAAGGAAGTATCAACTTCATGAGGGGAAATGTGAGCAGGGTCGAGACTACTCTACCCCCCAGCCCAGGATTTGTACCTTTGTTTTTTTCCTATGGTTTTGGATTCGCTATCTCTTTAGAACCCAGTTCAGAAAATTTGGGAAAGAAAAGAAAAAACAATTTATGGGCACCTGGGTGGCTTAGGTGGCTAAGTGTCTGCGTTCGGCTCAGGTCATGATCCCATCCAGCCGAAGCAGGCTCCCTCTGCCCTTCCCCCCCAACTCATGCTCATGGGCACGCGCTCTCTCTCAAAAATAAAACCATTTTTAAAATCCATCCATTACCTCTCCATGTTAAGGCAAACAATGATAAATGTTGATGTCTTTCTACCAACTTTTCTTAAATGTGATCTTTCATTTATTTAGGAGAGAGAGCAGGTGTGCTGACAGGGGAGGAGCAGATGGGGAGGAGGGAGAGAGAATCTCAAGCAGACCGTCCGCTGAGCTGAGCATGGAGCCTGACACAGAGCATGACCCTGAGATCTTGACCTGAAATCAAGAGTTGGTTGCTTAATCAACTGAGTCACCCAGGTGCCCCTAAATGTAATCTTTCTTAATACACTTGTAATTTCAGTAAGAAATGTATTTTTCTTCCTGCCTCACCACTTAAAATTTAGTGCCCACTTTTTCATGTCCTTAATCTCAATTATCACCATTTTCAACAGAAAAATAGTCCTTTAGACTCATTTACTATAATTTACTTAACCAGTTATGTTAGGCATTTAAAGTGTTTCTAATCTTCTGCTGCTTTAAATAAAAATGTTCATTGGAAAATAATGAATATAGCCTTTTCTCTATTTTGGATTATTTCCTTAAAATCCAGTCTCAATCACGTGGCTTTAAAGTACATGAATTCTGGAAATAAACACAAGTAGTCACAGATAAATATGCACTGAGCAATACATGTCAGTTGAGAGGTAGAACAGAATGTATAGGATTTGGCTCATCCATAGGTCTTATTTATTTATTTATTTTTAAAGATTTTATTTATTTATTCGAGAGAGAGAGAATGAGAGATAGAGAGCACGAGAGGGAAGAGGGTCAGAGGGAGAAGCAGACTCCCTGCCGAGCAGGGAGCCCGATGTGGGACTCGATCCCGGGACTCCAGGATCATGACCTGAGCCGAAGGCAGTCGCTCAACCAACTGAGCCACCCAGGCACCCCATAGGTCTTATTTAAATAGGCAACTCTAGGATGGATCAGTTACAGCATCTTTTTATGGACCAAGGTGATAGAGATAATTGAAGACTTTCGTTTAAAGATTTTACTTATTTGAGAGAGAGAGAGAGAGAGACAGCGAGAGAGGGAACACAAGCAGGCTTCCTGCTGAATGACTCCCTTGGCTATGGGCTCTCCTACCTGATTTTAACTTTGAAGTGTGGGATTCACCTAAACGCAGTGAACTTTTTAAAATCTGCTATATGCCTGGTTCTGTGCCAGGAACTGGTTCAGACAGAGAAGATTTGGGCCCTGCCCTCAAGTGCTGGCAGCCTCAGGTGTGAAAAATACCGTAACAGAAGTACAAAAAGACATACGAGTGACATTCAGGGAAAACTTCAGAAAGCTGAGGACTGGGATGCCTGGGTGGCTCAGTCGGTGAGGCATCTGCCTTTGGCTCAGGTCATGGTCCCAGGGTCCTGGGATCGAGTCCCACATTGGGCTCTCTGCTCAGTGGGGAGCCTGCTTCTCCCTCTGCCTGCTGCCCCCCCTGCTTGTGCTCTCTCTCTTTCTCTGACAAATAAAATCTTTAAAAAAAAAAAAAAAAGATGAGGACCGATGGAATGATTTCTAAAGGATAAAAAGCTCACTAAGGAGAGAATGGAAGGGCTACATCAAGCAAAGGCACAGAGGTGACACAACTGTTTGACATGATGGAGAAAAACTGCAGGATTTCAGTCTTCATGGATGTAAGGTGCAATGAGAGTAGCAGCCAGATGTGGATGGCAAAGAAGAAGGGGAACACACCATCGAGCCTCTTTGGCCTTAACACAGGGCTTAGATTTCACCTGCTAGGTCAAAGTTTCCAAACACCAAAATGAAAGATGATTTTAGGTAGCACAAGGACTACAGCATATGTATTTTTAAATACATAATATCAAAGGACATAAATAACACATCACACTTGGTGATCTCACAAACGTTATTCCTTAGGATGAAACTCATTAAAAAAAGGTAGTCTTTAAAATAAACCATGAGGGTGGTATATAAATGATAAAATACTTTTTTCCACTATGGGGAGCCTTACAGAGTTATAAGCAAAGAAGTAACATGAACTTAGGTTTTAGAAACCTTGCTCTGGTGTAAAGGATGAATTGAAAGGTGAGAAGAATCGCAGGGAAAGCATTAAAACTGTTGCAAAGATCCAGATGAGATATGGTTAGAAGCTGAACTAGGTACAGGGCACCTGGGTGGCTCAGTCAGTTAAGCAACTGCCATCGGCTCAGGTCATGATCCCAGGGTTCTGGGATTGAGCCCCACATGGGACTCTGTTCAGTGGGGAGCCTGCTTCTCCCTCTTCCTCTGCCTGCTGCTTCCTGGGCTTGTGCTCTCTTTCTCTGTCAAATAAATAAATAAAATCTTCAACAACAAAAAAAGAAGCTGAACTAGGTAGAGAGAAATGAAGAAAAAAAAAGATTTAAGAGACTTTTAGGATACTGGGATCAAGGGATGTGGAGAGAGACTGATCACAGAGAAACAGAAATAGGAGAGCCTTGGATGATTCCAGAATTGTAGCTTTGCAGACTGGGGTGGAAAGAAGAAAGGAGGTTTTTGTTACTATTTGTGTTAGGAGGGGGAAGAGGAGTGGATCTATAATTTTATTTTATTTTTTTTAAAGGTTTTTTTTTTTCCTTTTTTGAGATTTTATTTATTTGACAGAGAGAGAGACACAGCGAGAGAGGGAACACAAGCAGGGGGAGTGGGAGAGGGAGATGCAGGCTTTCCGCTGAGCAGGGAGCCCGATGTGGGGCTGATCCCAGGACGCTGGGAACATGACCTGAGCCAAAAGGCAAATGCTTAACAACTGAGTCACCCAGGTGCCCCCGGATCTCTTAATTTTAGAGGCATGTAGATCCTAGGACTTCAGATGAACACTTTGATGTTGTGAGAAAAAAAATAATGAAAGTTTCAGTTCAAGAGGGTAGGAACTAACAGATACTTGATGTAAGGGCACTTGTAAATTCCCAGCACAGGGGCGCCTGGGTGGCTCAGATGGTTAAGCGTCTGCCGAACTCTTGGGATAGAGAGCCCCCCCCGGCCACCCCTGGCTCTGCGGGGAGCCTGCTTCTCCCTTCTCCCTCTGCTCATGCTCTCTCTCTCTCCGTATCTGTGTCGCAAATGAATAAATAAAATAAAAAAAAAATTCCCAGCACAGACTGTGTACCTGAGGGATAAATGTTAGAGATAATCATTACCTTTTCTAGCCCTCTGTAGAGGGCTTGATCTTTGGTTATATATTTTTCAAGTGGGACTTGTTAACTAAAGTTCTGACTACTTTTTAATGTATTTCCTTTTAAGAGTAAGTTACTGAACAGAAAAAAGACGACTTACAAAGCCTCTAAGTACTACTGTTAAATATTCTCAACACAGATTACAAGGCATCAACATATAATTACAGGAACAAATTATCTTTGTTGTGAGAGGCGCACAGGACGTTTTCCTTTCCAAGGTGAAAGATGGTATAGGATTAATAACCAGTCTGCACACATTATTCTTTAAAAGAAAGGTCCAAGAGCTTGCAGTTCTTGCTCAGTACAGAACTGTTCCCTCCCTCTAGGTTCCCTTAGAACTTCATTATAGCATAGTGTTTTAATTTTGCAATTTCATCCTTTTCTTTCAAACTAGACTGTGAACTCCTTGAGAGAAAGGGTTTTCTTACTCATTTTATATCATCAGAGACCAATGTCTTACATATTGTTGGGGTTTAATTAATAATAATTGAATACTTCAGTGAAGCAAAACATAGGGATGTAAGAACAAGCATTATTTATTTAGTATTAACGCCAGGCTGCGCGTTCAACGTTACCTCATTTTACTCTTATAACAGCCTTTAAAGTTGAGAAAGTGGTACAGTTATCCGTTGGGCAGAGGTGATCTGGGTGAAACCCTAGGAAGAGACACCGCTATTCTCGCGAGCATACTACTGTAAAAGTCAGGATTGGTACTGCCTAGGTCAGACCCTAACTCCACAACGTGCCTGTGTGTGACCTTCCCCAAACCACGACCCAACTGGTCTCAGTCGCAGCGATATTCCCCGACCTGCTGACCAGAGACCAGCATCTCGCACGCTGCTTCAGGCCCGTATCCCCTTCCTGTCCCTCTCCGCCTTTGGACCTCAGGACTGAAGGCGACCCCGCTAACACCGACGTTCGGCGCTGACCTTAGCTTTTACTCTGCGGTCCGGGAGTTGAGGATCTACAGTTCAGCGCGGCCATCCTCACCGGCTCCCCCCAGACACAGCCTGGCCCAGGCGCCCGCTCCCGGCGCCAAGCTCCCGGACTCACAGGCGACGGCCGCGAGCCCCTCGCCGGCGGGGGCGTGCCTCCCAACGGGCCGCGCAGGGCCCCGGGCGCAGTCGTGAGGCGCAGCTCCGCAGCATGGCTCCGAGGGCGCGCGGGGCTCCCGCAAACACAGTTGCGGGACTCGCCCGCTAGCCGGCTCTTCACGTGACCGACGGGCCACGTGACCCAGGGGCGCGGCGTGAGGCGAGCCGGGGGGGGGGGGGGCGGCCTTAGGTCTCGAGAGACTTTGTGCCCGCGCCAGGCCCTCCGGCCCAACTACTGTTAAGCAACACCCCCCGCCCCGGCTGGATGGGAAAGGGAGCGAGGCCGGGAAAGTGGGGAGGCCGGGAGGGCCAGCACCGGCTCGCCCGCGGTTGCCTCCCCCCGCCGCAGCTCCAGCCTACGCCCCGCCCCCGATCCCTCCCGACCGGCGCAGCCGAATTCTGGGCGTGTAACCATGAAGTTCTTCTCCCTCCGGGAGAAGACAAAAAGCCCTCGGGCAGGTGGGAGCGCACCCTCGGAGCTGTTTCTTGCGGGCCGCGGACATTTCCCTGGGATCGGGTTGGTATTGATTTGTAAAGAGCCTTCCGCCTCCTAAGTGCATTTATACGCTTAAAATGCTCCTTCTCTGCCTTTTCCGGTGCCCCTCGTCTCCCGCCCCCTTAAAGCCCCCGGCCGAGCTAAAAGTCCTCTAAGTCATGCTTTTTTTTTTTTTCAAAAAGAGAACTCATAGCACTTGAAGGATGTGTTCATCTCTAGCTTTGGAGACAGGCCTGAGCTCAAACTCCCCTCCACAACCTAACACCTTGTAGGGACTCTGCACCTGGCCTCTGTTTCTTCATCTGTCTGTTGAGAATACTAAAAAGTGCACAACAGGATCTTCCCTTTCAGTGGGAGTCACGAAGTAGAAGTTAGCAGAAGTTACCTTGTAGTTCCCTCAGGAAACTGCCCCCAGGGGCGCCGGGGCGGCTCAGTCCTTTAAGCGTCTGCCGTTAGCTCAGGTCATGAGGGGTCCTGGCATCCAGGCCTGCCCCTGGGGTTCCCTGCTCAGCGGAGCCTACTTCTCCCTCGGCCCCTGCCCCCCTGCTTGCGCTCTCTGGCGCTCTCTGGTGCTCTCCCGTGCGCGCGCGCTCTCTCTCTCCAATAAATAAAATCTTAAAAAAAAAAGAAAGAAAGAAAAAGAAACTGTTCCAGGCCAGTGGTGTGCTGGAGCTGGCTCCTACAAGCTCATGGGAGCAGACTTAAAAATTCAGAATTTGGGGGTTCTGGGTGGCTCAGTCGGTTGGGCACCTGCCTTCTGCTGGGGTCCTGGTCCCAGGGTCCTCGATTGGAGCCCCGCATGGGGCTCGCTGCTCAGTGGGGACCTGCTTCTCCCTCTCCCTCTGCCTCCCTCCTCGCCCGCTTGTGCTCTCTCTCAAAAAAAATTCAGAATTTGGCTAGCCAGTCCTTAAGTACTGCTATTATTAAAATTTAAATTATGTCATGGGGCCTGAGTGGCTCAGTCACTTAAGTGGCTGCCTTGAGCTCAGGTCAAGATTTCAGGGTCCTGGGTTGGAGCCCCACATTGGACTCCCTGCCTAGCTCCTAGTCTGCTTCTCCCTCTGCCCCTCCCTCATGCTTGCGCGCCCACTCTGTCTACTATAAATAAATCTTTTAAAAAAATTATGTCAACTTACAATCGAATAAATTGTATCAAAAACAAAAGTGTTTGATACTAAAATCTGTAACGTCCTAATTACTACATTTTAGTACCATCTGTGCTCTTGGGGTTATTTACCTTTATCGTATTTGTGTGGTGGAAATAGGCTCATATCTTCCCAGCGTCCTCTTTCAGTCACATCACCTGGCGGCTTGAAATCCACTGCATGGGAGTATTCACTCAGAAACTGCATATGAGGGCCTTCTCTCCTTTTTAAAAAACATTTACCAATATACTATTAGTCCATCCTGAACTGAGGTCTTAAAACCCTAAGGGTTGCTAACATAATAGGTTACTAAAATTGCTTACACCCGGCACATCATTCATTACATGAATTTTCCCAGCAATACACCTCTCACCACTCACATAGTAAAGGTGGAATGGGAGGGACCATTATCAGGGAAGATATATCAGAGATAAATAAACTTGGCTTTGGGCTTGGCGCTAAATTCAGAGAGCCCCCTTCTACTTTTTTTTTGTGAGCAATTAGTATCCATGAAACTAATTTCCAATTATTCCAGCACCCTTTGTTGAAAGGCTCTCTTTTCTCCGTTCAATTGTCTTTTCACCTGGGTCAAAAACTGGTTGTCCCTATATGTTTGGGTCTATTGCTTGGACTCTGTGTCCTGTACGTTAAGCTAGTTATCTTTCTTGATGCTAATCCCATACTGTCTTTATTCCTGTGGCTTGAAATTATTTTCAAATTTGTTTTCCTTTTTCAAAGTTGTTTTGGCTATTCTAGATATTTTGACTTTCCATCGGAACTTTAGAATCAGCTTGTCAATATCTACAAAAAAACTGCTGAGATTTTGAATTGACATCTCAGCAAATGGAGTCTGCTCCTGAAAGTTGTATTTCATCTACAAGTCTTCTATGAACAAGTTATGTCTTCTCTTCCCATGTATTTAAATCATATGTAATATCTCTCAACAATGTTTTGTGATATAGGTCTTGTACATCTTTTGCCATACAGACATACCTTGTTTTTGTGTGATTCTCTTTATTGTGCTTTGCAGATCTGTGTTTTTACAAATTGAAGATTTGTGGCAACCCTACATGGAGCAGGTCTGTTGGTGCCATTTTTCCAACAGTATTTGCTCACTTCATGTCTCTGTGTCACATTTTGGTATTTCTTCAATATTTCAAACTTTTTCATTATTATTATATTTGTCATGGTGATCTGTAATCAGTGATTATGACTCACTGAGTGCTCAGATAATGGTTAGCATTGTGTAGCAATACAGTATTTTTAAGTTATGTACATTGCTTTTTTAGACATAATGTTATTGCACATTTAATAGACTACAGTGTAAGGGTGCCTGGGTGGCTCAGTTGTTAGGCGTCTGCCTTCAGCTCAGGTTATGATCTCGGGGTCCTGGGATCAACCCCGCATTGGGCTCCCTGCTTAGCGGGAAGCCTGCTTCTCCCTCTCCCACTCCCTCTGCTTGTGTTCCCTCTCTCGCTGTGTCTCTGTCAAATAAATAAATAAATAAATAAATAAATAAATAAATAAATAAATAAAATCTTTAATAGACTACAGTGTAGTGTAAACCTAACTTTTATATGCACTGGAATACCAAAAAACAGCATTTGACTTGCTTTATTGTGATATTCGCTTTATTGTGATGGGTTGGAACCCAACCTACAATATCCTGAGGTATGCCCGAATTTATCTTTAAGTATTTCATATGTATGATGTTATTATAGATAATATTTTTTATCTCAATCCTTGATTGTTCACTGCTAGTATATGGAAATACAGTTACTTTTTAGGGGTGCCTGGGTGGCTCAGTTGGTTGAGCGTCCAACTTGATTTCAGGTCATGATCTCAGGGTCTTGGGATCCGGCCCTGTATAGAGCTCTGCACTCAACCAGGAGTCTCCTTCTGTCTTCCTCTCCTTTTGCCCCTCTCCCCATTCACACACACACTCTCTTTTCTTTCTCTCTCTCTGTAAAACAAATAAATCTTTAAAAAAAAGAAATACAATTACTTTTTATATATTCATCTTTTATCTACAAACTTGCTAAACTCATTGGTTAGTTCTAGCAATTTCTTAATAGATTCCTTACATTTTCTACATAGATGAAGATGTTATCTGTGAATACTTTTACTTCTTTTTTACTATCCATACAGCTTTTATTTCTTTTTTTGTCTTATTGCACTGGCTAGAATCTCCAGTACAATGTTAAATAGTAGTGATGAAAACAGACATCCTTGTCTTATTACTGATCTTAGGGGGAAAGTATTCAGTCTTTCACCATTAAGTATGATCTTAACTGGAAGGTTTTTGTAGATGCTCTTTAACAGGTGGAGAAGTCCCTCCTATTCCTAGTTTGCTAAGAGTTTCTGTTGGTGGGTGTTGGATTTGATCAAATGCTTTTTCTACATATTGAGATGATCAGGGTTTTTTTTTGTTTGTTTGTTTCATACCGGGGTGCCTGGGTGGTGCAGTTGGTTGAGGCTCCAACTCTTGGTTTTGGCTTGGGTAGTATCTTGGGGTCATGGGTTTGGGGCCCACTTTGGGCTGTGCTCTCAGTGCAGAGTCTGCTTGAGTTCCTCTCCTTCTGCCTCAACCCCCCCCCCGCCACACGTGCTCTCTTTCTCTCAAATAAATAAATAAAACTTAAAAAAAATAAGTAAAATAAAATCTGTTTCATATCATGAATTACACTGATTTTTTTCTTTGTCCTCTGACCATGTGTTTCTAATGATCTCTACATGTGAATCTGTTCTTCACAGCAGAGATTACATAGAGCTAAACACATGATTTGTAGAGGAAGAAAAACAGTATTTCAAGACTAAATATGTGGAAGAGACCAGTGCCAGCTGTCTTTATGTTTGCTAAAATAAAGTTTAGAGATGTAACTGAGACTTGTGCTCAAAAGGAAAATTAGGTATAAATAATTCAGATCAAAATAGGACTCAGTTGTTGATAAATAAAATCTGTATAAGTGTATGTGGTTTCAAATAAATAGAACAGATAAAATAAAAAACGTGCATATGTGGAAACTGAAATGCAGGATAGGCATGTATATGTCATATGAATGTGTATATACATATGTCATATGAAAGATAGTGTGTGTCATGATTAAAAATGCAGGTGTGGGGGGTGCCTGGGTGGCACAGTAGGTTGAGGGTCCAGCTCTTGGTTTCAGCTTGGGTCATGATTTTGGGGTTGTGAGATCCAGCCCCAGTCTGGCTCCGCACTCAGTACGGAGTCGGCTTGGGAGACTCTCTTCCCCTGCTTCTGCCCTTCCTGCTTGTGCTCTTTCTCTCGCTCTTTCACTCTGTCTAAAATAAATAAATAAATCTTTAAAAAAAGTGCAGGTGTGGATTCCAGAATCAAACATCTGGATCCAAATCCTGTCTTTGACATAATACGTGTGGCCTTGGGCAAGTTACTTATTTAACTACTCTGTGCCTCAATTTCCTAACTTGTGAAATTGAGATTACTTTCTACAGTTGCAGGAAGGATTAAATGAGACAATACATAAAAAGTCCTGGAAACAAAGCAAATGCCTATTAAATATTACCTATTATTGTGTACAAAATACATGTAAGACTTAATTCATGAGT